AAGCAGCTCTGAGGCCGTGGCACCTCGAAACGTTAAACAGCCTCCTCTCCGCTTTCTGTACGACGGTCGTAAACAGCAGAGCTGGCGGAAACGGTCAGCGCAAACAAATGCCGGAGATCGCAAACCTGCACCTATGTTTTTCTTGCCCTCTCATAGGCACAAGCGTGCACACAGACACAAACACACATAAAGCCTCTTCTCGCGCTCACCCACCACAGAAATGGCTTTCTTGTCACTAAAACAAAACCCTCTACGTCTATCCTGGTTTTGGTAAATGAAATATGGTTTTTCAATACAGGAGTTCCTCAGTTATGGATTTCTTAGTCTATCAAATGCTTGAATTAATCTGCAGGAGAAAAAAATTCTCTGTCTGACTTGGCAAATGCTTCCTTGGAGAGCCACTCTCTTGCAGCCCAGACCCCAAAAGCAGCACCTGATCTCCATGCAGGCAGGAGAGCACAACCTAGCCCTTAGTCTCCAGGCAGAACCTGGAGATCTCTTTGGAAAGGTGCTTTCTTAATGCCATATTTACGAGCAGAGCAAGCATTTGGGTATTTTCAGCACAAGGCCATGTAGACAGGCTCCACTGTAAACAGGGCTGAGAACCTGCCGGTAAATCAGCTGAGGACAGGACAAAGCCGAAGGCAGTGAGGAAGCAGCAGCTCACAGCCACAAGCCCCAGAGGTCAGTTTTAGCGAGTGATTCGTGGCCGTGCTGTGCTTGGCAAAGCGAGCAGAGATGCGAGGCTGAGTGACCGCAGCCAGGCTAGGGCCAGGGACATTGCTGTGACGGATGCTCAGCTGCTTTCCTGAGCAGCTGAACTTATTCTCTGGCCGAAAACGGGCACATACGTCCTGGCGCCCCATACACGCTCTGGTTTGAGGCAAGGCACCTGCCTGTTCAGAGCTTGGCTTTGACTTTGCTGGACTGGCACCTGCTAGGGGCCACGGACTATCAGAAGTTGCAAAAGGGCCACAGGAAAGCAAGCCCGGCTCTGCTGCCTGCTCTGCCTCTGCCGAAGGAGCGAGGCCTGGCTGTCAAGAGACATGCACGGCCACCCCTTCCTACCAGCGGCACAGCCGGACACGCAGCAGGCTGCTCCAGCCACTGCCTCCGAGGAGAGGGGGGCCGGGTGGCCACAAAGAAAAAGAGGACAGTCCCCTTCAGGCACTGCTCCCACTGTCCCTGCTCAACAGCAAGTCCATGGGCGAGCAACATCAGGGAGCCTAAAGGCTACAGGGCCCTGGCTAGCTCCGTGGGCACTAGCTACGTTTCTTCCCGAACAGTCTGTGTAATCCAATAACATGGGCAGCAAGAGCCAGTTCGGCGTTGGGCAGCCAAACCTGCTCTCATCTGCTCCTTCCCTCCATGTTACATCACAGCAAATTCCAGCTTCGGACCAGACTTCCCTCGCACCCCTCTCCAATGCTTTACCCAATTTCTATAGTGCTGTAAGGGGCCTGGCTATGAGGAATGCTTGTGGGGCCAAAACCAGAGCCAGGCAGCCCCTTCTCTGCAAGCGCCCGCTGCCATGGACAACAGGTACAAGGTACTATCGCTCTGACCCTCATGTGGGCAGGTATGACAGAAAGGGTGGCAAAAAAGCCCAAGCAAAAGGAACCGTTTGCTTCTATGATCAGTTTGCATTAGCATAAAACAGTAACTAACTATTTGTATCCTAGCCTTTTCCTATTACACTCACGTTGTGTAAAATAAGGACATAATATCCACTGTAATGAAAAGCTTGGTGATGCCTAAGGGAGAGATGATCTTTGCTATGGGCGTTGTGCAATACAAGCTGACAGAGAACGAGCTGCAAAAGAGAGAGGCAGCCGACCACAGTTGGATTTATTAAGGTACACATTACTGTGTTGGATTTATTAATGCACACATTACTGTGAAGTCTGTGCTGTCCTTGGCGTGGCCACCTGGACCTTCACACGCTTTCTACAAGATATTGTTTCCTATGTATTTATTTTATAAGTCTACAAATCTCTTTGCCATGCCAAAATTGGGGAATAAATTCTGCCTTGATTTAAAACCTTGCCCTATTTAGTACATCTAACAAGGCAAAATCTGGTTCTGAGCCAGGAAATCCTCTCCATGAGGCACTTCCTCAAATTACACAGACTCTTGGCTAAAATTGAGGCCCAGTGAATATTACAACTCCTCAGCTTCGTATTCCCCTTCTTGCTGCAATTGTGCTCTGAAATCCCAGCTTTCTTTTAAACTCCTTGCAGTTGTGCTTGCAACCTTGGATTTGGGAGCCCCGTGGGAAGCAGCGGGTCTGCAGAGCTTGAAATAATTGCTCCCTAGTTAGGAGCCAAAGGGGATCTTTAGGCAAACCTCCTACCCAGGAAGCGCACAGCTCAGAAGCTGGATTCTGGATGCTGGCACGTGCAGGGGAGGCAATGGAAATGAAAGGCATTCCCCAGAGAGCAGATGGACTACCGCTACTGTTTGCTCCAAGAAATGCAGTTGCAGAGCCCTGGCCCTGTGTTTCCGCTCTGCCAGCCCCAGCTGAAGGGCTCTGAGTTTGAGGGTGCTCCCCTCATTGTTAAACAGTTTTAATCGTTTCACTGCAATGCTAAGCAAATGCTCTCCAAACAAACGTTCAATAAAGGAGACAAAAGGGAGCAGCGATGATCTCCCTCAGGGGTGCAAAGGGAGGAGGGAACGGACTGGAGAAACCGTGTCCCTGCCTCTGGAGGGGCTTAGGAGTCCTGCAGGCCAAGCGAGAAACGTCTCTGCAGAAATTAGAAGAAAGGATTTTAGAGGCCCTGATCTGCTTAATATTCATGCGAGCAAGGCTTTGGAGGAAGCCCATTATACGGACTCTGATCCATAGCATAAATCAGCTTCTCTTACTAATGCCATTTAAAATGTTGCCATTAGAACAAATTCAGGACTGGAGGACATTTAGTTTATACACTTATCTTACATGAAAGAGGAACATATACAAATGCATGTGCTTTTTATGATAAAACCTTCTATTTCCTGAATGCTTAGATACTGCAGCACAGCTACAACCATTTCTGGGATAAGTCTGTTATTTTTAAGTATTCAGCATTTTGGAAGACTGGCTTCCAGCAGCAAGAAGTTTATATGATTTGCTTTGTAGTCTGTCAGGTTATGGTAAATTTAAGGGCACAATGGAACAAAACTATCTTAGAAATTCATACAACTGTTAGGAATGTCAAAAGAACAGATTCCCCAAAATTTTTTCTTGTTTAGAACACCAGAATCCCTATTAAAAGAATTCCAAGCAAAGTATTTGAATGAAACAATCTCTTGAGAAATAAGCTGTACATTTGGATATTTGCTCCAGTACATTAAAAATTTGTAACAATATCACGCTGGACAAAGTAAGGTTTACCTATTCCTCTTTTCTTTCTTTTTTTTTTTTTTAAGACAATAAATAATTATCTTGAAAAATCTATACCTTTTTTTTTTTAATCATAAATATCAAATCCATAAGGATCATCCTCAGGGTAGGTTTTGCGGAGGCCTCGTCCCACCGAGGAGCACGCCAATGAAACGGCGGCATCCACTCGGCACTGCACTCCTGCTCTGTGTGCGCCTTCGCCACGGGTGAGACGGGACCTCACACCAGACCTCAGGCCTCCTTACAGATCCTACATGCGCGCTTTGCCTTATGCCTAGCACCTTCAGTGGCCGCAGAAGACAGATCTTCTTCCAGCAGCATGCCTGAATCCCTCGTGTCGCTCAGAAGTTAACACAGGGACGCGATAAGTAGTAAAGAAGGAGCAGGAAAACGATGGCAGCGAGTGACTGGACAGACAAGATATGATAACTTTCTATGACGTTCTAGTTCTTAACCTGCCATAGTTAAGTGCCCTGTAAAAATGAAATGATGCTTCACCTGCAAATATTTTTAATATTAAAAGAGGGTATTCAAATCAGTGCCTTTCAATAATTAAAGATGTTGGTCAAAAAGAAGGGTTGCTTGTTGATTTTCTGGTTTATTGTCTAAGCAGCTGGAAATACCTTCTCAATCTCCTTGCTCCTCATAACTCCTTCTTCAGAGCGAAAACTTAGTTTAAGCTAAACAGAACTATGTGAAACACGTAAATATTTTATTTACACATACCAATTCTATGCTTTCTATGTTTTCCTGCTTTCTATTAATTCTCAAAGATTGTAAAAAAAAAAAAAAAAGCTATTTCACAGAAAAGCCAAGGGAAAAACAGTTGAATGTTAAAGTCATAATTAAGCTTAGTATTAGCAGAAAGGGTAAAAAAAAAAAAAAAAATTGGTAAATGTGAACTTTAAAATGATGATGAATTCTCATTATCCGGAATTACCCAGCTCTGTTTGAATGAGCCCTGTTTAAAAGCAGAGATAGCGTTATTCTATTTCAGGCACTCTGAGTAGGCGAGCAAATTTTCTGTGTCGGAAAAAAAAATTAATAAAATCCAAAGGACAGCAATGAACTTCTCTAGATTACCATGGAGATAACATTTGCATTGTTTGTCATATGTGTCATAGTTACCTTCGCTAGTTCATTATTTTCATAAGCGATTTTTATTTGCATTTCTTTCAGACCCAGTAAGTCTGAAAGACTCCTGCACAGTGTGCAAGGTGTTAATGCTGCTTCCACTCACTCAGTCATCCTAGGACACCAATTTTTAAAGGACCTATATGGAAAGAAGGAGACATCACAATTCACAAACACACCATTTATTCTGATGTCACTTACTATAACTACTGTCCTCCTCTTTTGTTCCATCAATTGTTCCATCTGCTTGCAACTGCAAGTGGTATCCTTGCCTGCTGTATAGCTTTGTTACTATACCTTTAAGCTGAGGCTCTGTAAGAAAACAATAGTGAGATTAATGTGGGAAATCGGGATGTGCCGTTCCAAGCGAGCAGGATGCTAAAACAAACCTGCTGGTTTCTTCTCGAGAGTAAGATAAGGAAAAAGACCCGAGATAAAAGCAGGGCAACCAGCTTTGCAACACTTCTCATTTAGGCTGAGATCAAATTCACGTCTAGAAAAATCAATTGCCAAAATGATTAAATGCCACTTTCTATTGTCATGTAGGTAGCACACTCAAATCTGCTTCCAGCGAATGCAAATTCCATCAGCGTGCTGTTTGGCTTCAGGAGCTCAGCCCTATCTCATTTAAGATTAGGGATATGCTGGCAAAGAGTGTACTCTGCCTTTTAAAAAGGTGTGATTTCTTAAATGGAGAGGAAAAAGAGAACTACTAAGATAGCACTAACAAGAGCCGTAGTGACAGTTGAGAGCCTAAATATATAGCAGCAAACATTTGCCACGGGAACTGCTGCAGCTCTAATAAACCAACCCCCATTCCTCGCCGCTCCAAAGAGTACGGAGCATCCAAAGTGATAAACTACTCAATGAACATATGGAAAATAGGGGGGGGACCCCGAAATCCAACAATGTGCGGAACAGCAAAATAAACAGTACCATAAGGGTTGAGGTAATTACCTCATCAGCTAGAAGAAGAGAGATCAAAACAACATAGTCTGGATATATTTTTTTTCATAATCATCCTCATATTCACAGTTAGAAAGTAAAATATCTCAAATCAGTTTAGAGCATTCTAGACCAAAAACTAAACAGCAACAGGATTTGCTGTCATTTAAAGAAAACATCTAGGTAATGCACCAGCAGTAGTTGCAAAAAAAGAGGTCTACTTCCACTGAATCCCAATGACATCTGCATTGTAGCCATTTCACACAATTACATTTGTCAGGAGGTGATGCGTTCTCAGCAGCTTGCTCCAAAGCGACTAAATTCAGAGATAAAGGCACTGTGAAGATACAATTTATCATTTCCAACCCAAACTTCCCATGTCTCGGTAAGGCTCCTTGTGTTTGTAATGAAAGAAATTAGGGGAGCTCTGTTATTATGCTTCATTTTAATAGGAAGCAAAGGTGAAAAGCTTACAACAGTTTGCATAAGTATATTGCTTCCTATCAGCAAACTTTAATAAGTGTACTGACGGAAAACGAGCCCAACCACCACCCTGGCTTTTTAGCAATAATACACGGCAAAGCTGCTCACAGATTTGGAGCGAAGCAGCCACAGAAGAGGTGCCGAGAAACGCAGACAGGTTAAGTGGCTAACGGCATCAGTGTTTCAGCACAGCAAAGCAAGAGCAACGTTACCAGAGGGTTTTTGCTCCTCCCATGTGCAAAAACCGCTGGGAACAAGGACTGAGCCTTCACGCCTGATCTTTAGCACCTCTGGCGCAGAGGACCATGCGTGCAGGGCTGATGGGTGCAGGCGGCTCCTAGAAAGGCATAGGGTGCCGAAGCAAAACTCTGAAAGGCACTAGCAAAAGCAAAAAAGGCTCTTCTCCTGCAAACATTATTAGCAAATAATAAAGCAAGGCACAGGCACCGTGCGAAGCAGGAACACAAACCCAGATCCCTAGGCTACCAAGTTATTGAACATACAGAGGAGGAATATACGACTGGAGGAGGTGTGCATGGGGGAGCTTTCCCTGCTAGCATCTCCCCCACAAATAAATCACGTGTGTTTGTGCATGTGTAATGGAGGGACAGACTGCCGAGTTACCGGTACATGGGTAGAAGCGTGTGTGCAAGTGAGGCAGAAAGCAATGGTGTGTGTTATCCAAATAAAAGGGATGAACATGAGCAAGGAAGGGATCGGTACCCACGTCTCCTGGATTATAAAAGCCAGAAGTGGCAATGTCTGCACAATAACGTTAATTATACCAGCCCTGAGTCCCCAGCCTCCCTTTCCCCATGCCTGATGAACATCGCAGATTGCATTAAATGAAACAAAACCAGACCCCGAACCCATAACCCTTGCCAACCTGGTCGCCGCCTTCGCCTTTTCTTGGAGCCAAAGAGTTTGACCCTGGAAAACACATTCAACTTGTTCTTGTCGCAGCTTCCCTTGCTCTTGCTGGGGCTGTTGACACACTTGCAGGCATTGGACTTCGTGGTCGCGATGCTGGCTGCGGTGCCCGCAGCCGGCAAGCAGACCCCGCGCACCTGAGCCGCCGGCTTGGGAGTAGGGCAGGCGCCGGTGGGACGCTCGCACCGAAGCCCCGGCTTGGGATGCAACAGTTTAGCTCACACGGTTTGGTTGGCTGAGAATCTCCCCTTCTGGTTTTCCGGTGCTTTTTTATTCCTCCCAACTTCTGGCAGGGGAAAGTTTGCAGGCAGAGACGAGTGTTTTGAAGGAGATCGAACAGCTCACTTGCAAGGCATCCCTCCGAGCTTCCCCAGACACGCTACTCGCATGCAGACATGGCACATCCACTTGGTGCAAGATCATCGCATCTTTGCCTGGCCCCGGTTTCTCCAGGGAACTTTTCTCCCTCCCCCGGCCCTCCCCATTCAGATCCCAGCAAACACCTGTTAGCCTCCAGCAGGGTCTGTCCTGCTGCAGGGGCTTTCTGGATCCTTTTTCCTCTTCTCCCTTAAGCAGAGATCCAAAGTAATCGGCGATGGAGATGCAGGGAGGGGGTGCTGGCACCCAAAGCCTTGCCTACCTGCTTCCCCACGTCTCGGGAAGCCTTTTCCCCTCGGTTCCTTACAGGTGCTGCTTGCAGCACAGCCTCCCCTCTGAGGATGCGCCCGGCTTTTGCACTGCAACACTTGTAAGCACTCGGTAAACAGTGAGAGCTCCCCCGATGCCTCGCTGCCAGCAGCACCAGCGCCGGCACTGCAGCAGCAGTAGTCTTCAGGCAGCGAATGCACGCACGCACCGGCTCGCACACACCCCGGGAGCTGCGCGCTGCCTACAGAAACGAGGCGACGCAGCAAGCCCCTTATCACCACCCTCCCCTCCTCCTCCTCCTCCTCCTCCTCTCAGTGCAAGGCAGAGCGGGAGACCTGCCCGGCGGCTCTTTGTGCAGGGAGTCGCCAGGAGAGGCCCCAGGGAGCAGGGTGAAGGGAAGCAGGGGACAGAGCCGCCCCAGCTGCCTGAGGTCCCTGCTGGCCCCAGGGCCACTTCCTGGGGAGGCACAGACACCCAAACAGCCGTGACTGCGACGAGCAAACACCCGGCGCCGGGGTTTCAGCAGAGCCAGGCCACCTGGCCGGGCAGCAGGACGGCGGCATGGGCAGGGAGGTGGGGAGGACACGCTGCCCCTCACCTTTTTCCCCAGCCTTGCAGGAAGGTCCCCCCCTTCTGCCTCATCCATTTATTGGAGGCTTTTTGCCTCTCTCTCCTTCCCTCCCACACCTGCTCTAAAATCCAGTTTTCTAGCAGAGACTAGAAAACCCATTTCCTTGTAATTTCCATGTTCTCCCTCTTTGCCTCCCTGTTCCTCAATCCCCTGGCCACGCTCTCAAGCCAGCAGGGTTTATCATCCTGCTGGCCTGGAGCACAAGGGAGGGGTGCTGGGCTCGAGCTAGCCGGGGCCAGGCTGTGCGAGCGGCTAGGGGGCCGGGGCCAGCCGGGGGGCCGGGGCAGTGGGGGACTTCTGGGGCTGGGAACAGTCCCAGGCAACTAAAGACATGGGCAGCCCATGTTCTGCACAGCGGATGCAGAACCTGCCCACATCCATGCCCCAGCACACAGGATGGCAGGAGGTCCTTGGGGTGCTCTGGTAACTCTTCCAACCCTCTTCTGCACACTGCCAACGGCCAGAGCCCCACATAAGGCCAACTCAAAGAGGACACAAGACAGAGATGCGTAACCCTGAGGGCAAACAACTATCAAAGCAACTTATCCCGGAGACAGAGGGGACTTGCAGTCACTCGTGGATGTCACAGCAGGGTGGTATGTCCTGTGAGCTGGTGCCTTGCTGGAGCTGAGCTCAGAAGGGGTGTGGAGGTAGCAAGCCTTTGGCCAGCTGAGCCCGGGAGCTAAGTGTCCTCAGCACCCTGGTTGCCAGGTCCAGCCTCAGGGCTTCCCCTGGGCTCTCCAGATGGGACCCAAAGAGGCAGAGCCCTCGACACACGTGGTTAAGTGTCACAGTACATGGCTTCAGGTGTGCCCCAGAGGCATGTCCCACTGGCAGCCAGCTCCCTGCCTGCCCGTGGGGTGAGACAGGCTCCCATGGGTGGCACTGCAGGGAAAGCAGCCGAGCGGAGCGAAACGAGCTCCCGTGGGCAGCACTGAAGGGGAAGCACCCAAGTGGGACGAGACGGGCTCCCGTGGGCAGAACTGCAGGGGAAGCATCTAAAGTTTCCCAGTGGGACCCCATAGGATCATCTCTCTCCCTCCATGGAAGGTACTTTACGGAGAGCACTTCTGCCTCAATCAGGTGTACCCACGAGCCTTCTTCACATCTCTGCCTACACCAGGCTTTGCAGTACATCTGCTCTTTCCTCCTCTCTTACGCCTGCCCATGGAAAAGCCACGTGTCCTCCCCTCCCTCCTTGGGCTACCCTCTCCAGGAGCAGGCGTGCACAGAAGACCACTCTGCTCCATTTCCTCACTTTAAAAAGCTCCAAGTGCAGTTCACTGTACCTCTGCAATCATTACATGCAGTCATGGGATTAGAAATAGCTCACAACAGATCCTAATGCTTCCTCCACCTGGAACTTCTGTCTCAATAAAACATGCCACCTACCTAGGCCTTACTAATAGAAATGACCAAAAGGTACAAATTTTGAAGATGCTGTCCGTCCAACTGAAATCACAATGTGTGCCATCATGGCCTGAGACCTTGACTGCTGATACAGTATATCAGATCAGCAGCCCCACGTACCCATCCACAATACCTTTTTCCTGTAAGATGCAGGCGTATACATACATACCTACCTATACTTTCCTACATTTTTGTGAGGCACTTCATGGTGTCCAAATATTCGTATTAAATAAACACTCCTAATTTCTTATTTAAGCTGAACAGT